TAGATGTTTACGTATTGTTTCATGAGAGACATGCAATTTCAGGGCCATTTCATGAGTGTGTTACATTGAGTTAGACTCAACAAGTGTCTTCAGAACATCAATATCAATTCCAACATGTCAGCCCCTGCCATCACAGTTTTTAAGGCTAAAGTCAACTGAATGAAATTTGCTGAACCATTAGTGACATTTACGAATGTTCAAAACACTTCCATAAACTTCTTTGATATTCTTTGTGGCTACATAGGCATTGTTTCCCTTCTTATATTCAAACAGCATTACATGCCAAATCAGTGTCTCATCGTGTGCAATCACAATAAGGAATTACAGTATACTAAACTTTACATCTTATATAAGCTACACTAATGTGATGTTTAGGTGGTTCGTTTAACTATTATACTTGATATATGTTTTTTAGGGGGGTGGTTAATGTAAGTGTTCCAAAATGCCACATTAATTTCTTGATGACCTAATATAACAACACTAAATAATTATATTTGCATGTTAAGGTCAATTACTGGATTACCAAACAAAATAATTATGGAGTATTACAGGGGGATACTACCATGCCAGAAAATAGTAGTTAAACTTGGAATATTTTTGGTTTATGCACTTGAGCTGCATCCTTTTATTAAATATGTTTTAAGTCTAGTGATTTTTCAGTGACATTTCTTACATTTTTCGAGTACCATTAGTGTACCCATCCTACATTTATTGTTACAGTATCTTTTGCAGTTTTCTGTATTTGGTATAATTAATCATTGTGTTTCTTGCATGATATATATTGTGTGTCTATATATTTTGAACATAGAACATTTTATTTACAAGGTTTGAACATTTCAGAATAACTTATTCCATCTTCAGCAAAATCTGAAAATCATGTTACAAAGATGATTATTAAGTAAAATAATATAACATAATCACTAGTTTACTTAGTTATTAAGAGAAGTGGTAAATGGACAGATAAAACAAGTGGCTAGAAAACTGCCCATGTAAATTCAAACCTGTCCTTCACAAACACTATATTGATAATACTTTCTTGCTGTTTCAACAATTAAGTCACGTTTCTAACCTTAATTCCCAACACCCCAATATCAATTTCACATCCAAACTCAAGGAAAACGTTTTGTTACAATTAAATGTTCCTAGATGTTAGGATTAACAGAAAAGGTAAACACTTTTCACCCTATTTTTATCATAAAAGAACTTTTACTGGCCTCTACACCAATTTCAATAGTTTTATCTTCAACTTTTTCAAATGTAATCTGGTTATATCATCGTTAAACAGAATTTTTAATCTTTGTTCTAATTATTTTATTTTACATGAAGAAATTACCCTTCTGCATAAACACGTTAAATAATGCCTAACTGACTGATTTTCTAACAAAGATTACACGCAATTTCCTAAACAACAAATTCCAACCACTAGCCAATGTACATCCCCAAATTTCCCCTCCTTATCTTCCTTCATTTTATGGGTTCTCAATCCCTACAAATTAAAAAACAACTCTCTTCCCTAATAAAAAACTTGTACCCTCAAATTCAACTTAGAATAATATACAGACCTAGCCTCCACATTGAACACTTATTTCAGTACAAAGATCAAGTACCTAAACTTCTATGTTTATGACTGTAAGGTCACGTACATTGGTAAAATAAAACATCACTTAAAAACTAATCTGTAAACATTTATAAGTACCTAACAGAACCAACCATCCACTACTTAAACCCAGCCACTCATCCATTCGTTCATATTATGAAACCACAAATCACAATATTTCATTTAACGATTTCTCTATGATTACCACAGGATCTTCAGACCTCGAGCTCTACATTAGAGTCTACTCATATCAAAATACTGCCTGACTCTTAATGACTCACAAAACTCTTTAGACCTAAAATTGTTCTAAATTTTCACACTTAACTCGGCTGTTGTGTAATGCATATATGTAATCATTGTTTTATCCGTCCATTTACTGCTTCTCTTAATAACTAAGTAAACTAGTGATTATGTTATTATATTATAATTTTAGTTAATAATCATTTTTGTAACACGATTTTCAGATTTTTCTGAAGGTGGAATAAGTTATTCCGAAACAATAGAATCTTGTAACTAAAATATTTTAAGTTTTATCAACTGTCTTCATCTTCATTATTAGACTTTGGTTTCCCCATCATGAATCCACTTTATACATAGTTTTTACTTACAGAATTTGAAGTTACAAGTTAAGTATACAGGGAACCAATCTTAGCTTGCCCTAGCAATTGACTGCTACTAAAACAATTAGTTTAATACTGGCCTGGACAGTCCAGGTTCATTCTCTGTAAGCCAAAATTATATATATTATAGAGTATAGTATTACCACTAATAAAATATAAATATTATTTATAATTCACCCTGACATTACTGACATGTTTTTATTGTGTTCATTATCCATGGGGTCTACATATAGTATCATATTTGATAATTTTTTGTTTTTAACTGTTACAAGACTCTCTGTAAAGGACTAATCAAAATAATTTAATGAAATAACTCACTGTTTTTGTAAAATACATACAGAACCTTTGAAGTAATTAGTTGGATGTATTTTCAACACTGATAGTATTTGAGTTTACATATTTTTGTTGATTCATATGTTATTAGGGTAACCAGTAGTCATGAACAGCCCACAAGCAATTGGGTATATCAATAGTTCAGAAATTTTTGTTGCAAAAATTACATATGGGCTCACAATAACTGTTTTACCCAGTATGTAGGGAAATAATAAATACTTTGTTTAGTTATTTCATCACTATGAAAAATATTAGTTCTGTATATCTGTAACAGTTTATAGTTGCATGTAAATTTAGAACAAATGACAGCCCCCCCCCCACAGTTCATCCAAAATATCTAGCCATGATTCTTATAGACATTGTTCATGATAGTCAATAGTTTACTCATGATCAACACCTTAAGTTAAATGTACTAAAATTATGGAAAACATTAAATAATTACCAAATGGTGATTGCTCTACCTACTGTATATGTATTTCCAAACATAACTACATGTATATGTACATACAAAAAAAAAATCCATAATTTAACAACAGTTGCTTCTTTAACAAAATTGCATAATACTTTATTAAACTAAGTCTGTCTTCATCAGGTCTGATGCCAAGCCTGGATTCCTGTCAAAACATGTTATATTTTTAATAAATCACTGTGCAATTTTAGTCACTGTTTTATAATTTTGGTAAGCTTTATCTTCATTCTTCTTCTGTTTCAGTTAATTTACTGACATCAGTTATGCAAAATCTATATTTTCATGTCTTTATATTCATTTGACGGAATATTTAAAACTTGTTTTAATAATTCCATTAAACTTAGTATCTGCTAAAACTATAATGAATTACACACAATAAACAGTTATTATTTTATTGGCTACATGTTGAGACCTGAAAAATATTTTGTAAGCTTAAAAGATAAAATAATAAACTATTGTTTAAACTCTGTTACAAGCTAATACCCTTACCTCTTTTGGAACAGTGTATATATCTGTAAAAATAGTCTGCCAATAAGACCACACCAACATAGCAAGAAAGATATGATACAGAAATAAGTACACCACTGTGGAAAGAAATAATATTATTAAATAAGAAAATTGATTTAAATAAATTGTTTTATATTTTGGAAAAAGAAAAAAAGTTGAAAATGTTTGTATTCTAATAGTCGTTAAAAGTGTACATGCAAAGTAATGCAAGTTCAAAGTTCATAAGACACTGAAATACATGTACTTATAATTATTTAATTTTTCTATCACATAGTTTTCTTTCTATCAAAATGCAAATAGTCTTTTATGCATCAATGAATTTATTCTTAAGTATAAATAATTTTATATGACTTTATGAATTTAAAATGAGCATGAAATCTAAAACAGTATGTATTTTACTAGTGATCTTTTCACAATGAAATTTGTGTATACATTAATATTACACACTTTAATATAGACTTGTATGTATACTGAACATGTTTCATTCATAAGTAGGCAAGATTCTACATGTATTCAGCATATCTTCTTTTCTTTTACATGAAGGGCAAGAACATGCCATATTTTTTGGCAATATAAAATATTTACCACAATTTTTGGAAAGATTGAAAGCTTAATACAAAGAAAGAAAAAATTTTGAAACTCCTAGTCCATGTACAATCACTAAAGAAAAATATGCACAACATGCATTGTTACACCATGCTTACTTACATATACACAAAGAAAAGACTATTTACTATTATTAGAAAGTGCTCTTCACATATCTCTAAGTCATATGTATATTCAGATAATACTAACTTAAAATTCATAATACTACTCATTCAATATTTAAAAAATTTGTTTCACAGTCAGCTTGTGACTCTCTACCAGGAGTCTTCAATAAGGCAATTGTAAAAAGAAATATGATGACTCATCCACCAGAAATTTTTACCAAAGCGTGAGCCATTTCAATACCCTATTGGTTCAGGAAACAAATAAGGTAAAAGGAATCTCCTAAAAAGACTACAAACAAAATAGATGACTGAATTTAATAATGACTCTCTTCAAGATTAAAGTGAACTGCTACCATTAGTGATCTTCTCCCTATACAAAATCAAGGACTGGCAGTGGTAGATATACTTACCAGTCAAAGCTGTCTTGGACGTGCATGTAAGCCACTGCTTACTGTACAAAGATGAGAAATGCTCAACATGAAAACAAAGACCTTAATAAAAAACAAACAAACTACATTTCCATAACAGTGAGACAGAGCAGTAGTAGCTGTTGATGGCAGAAAATAAAATAGTACATTGCATGGAATGTGCCTGAAAAAATATTGAATAGCTCACCCCAGTAAGCCAAAAGCAGTACTGACCATAGGTGAGAGTTGGAACTTTGATAAGGTCAAATAGGAAGAGAGGAACTTCTAAAATGTGTAATTCAGAGTAAAGAAGTGTCACATGATATAGACATGATGAGAATTGTAACATTTGCTCTCTAGGTATCCCCTGTTCCCTAATTTATCTACCACTCCTCCGAGAAGTATGGAAATTAACGTAAATTACTCATTATAATGTTGTCATTGCTCAAGCATAATCTTTATAGCCTTCAATCTTATTTGGTTACAGAGCCATAAAACAGAAAATCAGACCCCTTTTGCCACACCTATCTGTCACATCCTTTCTTTCACAAATTGCCAAGAGTTCTCTCTGATGTTTAATACTACATTATTTATAACTAATATAAAGCCAATGTTTTAAACTATTAAATTACTTATTATATTATGTTGTTTCCTGTACAAAGAATAAGCAATTTTTTTTTCAGTTCAAACATTATTCCCAAGGGAAACACATCAATACACTTAGCTGAATTTTTAATGGCTCTTATTACATAGTTAGAAAGTCAGAAAAATTATGATAGTTATAGGATATTGTCTGCTTTTTACATGTTATTATTTTGTGTTTTTAGATGCATTACTTAATTCAATAAAATATTATTTAGTGTAGTAGTACCACAGTATAAAAAGTAGGGTTAAGTTCCATAGTCAACAGCAAAAAAAAAAGACCCAGGTAAGTATTATATTTTTTTGTTTTTCATGTGTATTCTTTACTTATTGTTATAAAAGTAACTAAAATTCAAAAATTAGAAACTTATTAGGCTAGATAAGGTAAAATAAAGAAAAATAATTTTTCACAAAGTACGTTTATGAGCAGCTGTTGAATAGCTTGTGTGTTACATAATTCAATATGGTAGCATTAGTTACACATTTGCTGAGTAATTTACAACTCATGTGGCAGGATTATTAGTTAGACAGGGTTCAAAAAGCAATAAAACAATAAAATTTAAGTAGAAACAGATAACAGATGTATACTGTTACTAGTTTTAAGCTATTTACAATAAACAAGTTTAGTTTCCTGTTACAAATACAAGTCATTCTAGGAAGAAAAAAAGGTAACTTAGATATGTTTTGTATTTATTTTTATGGTGGTTACAAGGCTGGTCAAACTGACCAAACTTGTACAGAGTTAGGGTAGAGAAAATATAAAGTTTTACTGAAAATAAAATGTTTGAGATTTATATAGGAGGTTTTGGATATCATGCAAGTGAAATATGACAATTTTCAAATGAAGAAAAGTATTTTTCATCTTAACATAAGATCACTTTGCACTCATAACAGTCAATACTTTAACTCCATATATTCATGGAAAATTTTTTAGCAAAAGTACTTCCTTAAAGATTCCAATTTTTTGTCTTCAAAAGACTTGTAATGCTTACTAAAAGACTGCAAAATTTTGTGAATACACATAAAACTATTAAAATCTACAGTATGGAAACTCTAAAGGTCAATTTTGGGTCAAGATTTAGGCCAAATCAACCAAGCTTGTAGCTAGAAAGTTAATTAAATTTTGAATGCAACTAATTCTGTAAAGACAGATCATGACATTTGCACTTTGTCCGAACCATGTTCAGAGGGTTAATATTCTATAATGTGCTGCACAACAACTTCACTCTAATATAATTTTATGTTTAAGATCTTGGGCATGAAAATCTGCTGTAGATATCTTTTAAATAAAAGCTTTGTAAAAACATTTATCTTACTATAATTCTTTGCAAAGAAACTTTAAGCTGCTTGTAGTAGTGAATTGTTGTTGGTATAAAATGTGCTTCATGATAGCAAATGTCCCATGTAAATAACCCACTAAAGTTTACAGATTTTATTTACATAGGGTAGCTGACAGGAACATCCATTATGTCACCAAATGTTTAATATTTTTAAGGTAACTTGACTATTTATTTGTGTTTATATATATTTTCCGAATCTGTTTTTTTTGCACTGCCAAGGACAATAAAAAAAATGCTTCAATTGCATGTATACATACACATATGAAATGTAAATAATTAACCCCTATGTAAACAACATTTCCATCATTAAACAGTGTTTGCACATTGTGAATGCATTTGATACAGAAATGTGAAGTCTCTCTATTTTCAAAACTTCTTCCTGTTGGGACTTAGAGAAAGAGAGAGAAGTGACTTCTCCCTGATTTGGGAATCTGACTTGACCCTTCAAAAGGCAAAGAGGATGAAAACTAGCAGACAGTTAAAAAGTAAAGAAGCATTAGACAGTTAAAAACATACTTGTTAACAGAGAAAAAAAAAGACAAATCACATACAAACACAAAAAATTAACCTTAAACAACTTTTAATTGCTGTGTAATTTGTTTATTTAACTATATTTTGCAGAAATTACTAGACAAACTAATAAACAGTTTAAAAATAGATTGCTTTAATCAAAAAAGTTATGGCAGGTTAATATTCATTATTCTTTATTCACTCAAAAAAATGTTGATTGTCAAACAATTTGCTCATTTAACTGCAAAAATTACTAAACACAGACTAATACCAGTCTTAACGATAGGTAATATTGTTAATTATGTAAAGCAGGATGACTAGTGGTATTTGCTAAGCAATTAATCAATGGCTTCACTAAATAATTAGTAGTGTTCCTCAGAAAAAAACAACAGAAAAGCTAGAAATCTTTCAATCACAAGCTTCACTCCCCCCCAAAAAAAAACACTAAAGCTCAACAAACTCAAAGTAAAAACACAAATAAACTTTAAATGCTAAAATCTGGCAGAGCAAAGATAGCTCATTAAGAAAAATTAGCTTAAAAATAAACACACTTAAAAAGAATACTGTTATTACTTGGATAGTTGGAGTAATTGAAAATATTAATAACCAGAAACACTAAATTTTATCAGTTGATTATTTTTGTGACAACTGATTTAAATGTAATTTCAGTTATTTGATTGTTGGAATAATTAAAAACACTAGTTTGATAAAATGATTCAACTGTAATTTTAATTAATCAATTAATTTACACAACATTAATCAATAGACTCACTATTCATAGGTAATAAATTATATTGATTAAATCACCCAAGCTCTACTTAGGATAGGAATGCTTTAACAACAAATGTTATGCCGAATTAGTATTTATTATTCTTTATTTGTTCAAAAAATGTTTATTGCTGAATAATTTGCTCATTTAACTGCGTTTGTCAGAAATTAATACATGTGAACTAACAACAATGTAACATTATATAACACCATTAAGTCATTGATCTATTTACATTGGCAGGACTCTTGTTTACACTACTGTTTACTCCATGTAGAAAGGAAGCAATGAAAAGGAGAAAACCAAAGTCTGGTTGTCATCACATGCAACTTAAACACTGACTAGTACTTTAAGATTTGTTTGATTAATTCATTTCTCAGCACTCACATTTCTAGTTTCTTACAGCCTGTACTGTAAAATGTAAACATATTGATCATTTTAATGTGCTCTTTTTAAACATCAGCCAATATCAACAACTTCTAGCTTAAAAGTTTATGATATCTTTCATACTTATAAAGTTTTTAATTTATTTTAAAAAAGAATTGGTTTACTTAACTTCAGTAGAATAGTCCTGTGAAAATTTATTGGGAGAAACTTACAAAATGGTATTAATAATATTTTCAGGTTATTACAGGTTTTGTTCTACATTGCTTATAGGATACATTTTCATGCCCAACAGTTTAGGATTTTAAAAAGTAACTTAATACCAAAACATGGTACCTGAAGATGTCTATCTTATTAAATAATGGGTAGTTTGAAACTTATTTACAAAAAACTAAAAATAGGAAGATTAGTCTCATGAGAATATTGAGTAATGATCCTGACAATTAGTCAACTAGCAGGGTCCACTAATCATCCAGCTCTAGAGAGAGTTATCCGAATGATCTGCAAATCAGTTTTTAAAGGCCAAGTTTAAAATTACAAAAATAAGAAAATATAGCAAATTAGCAAATTTTATCAGTAAAATATTAAAGTTGCATTCATCTTTCATGTACTTCTAAAGTTACGTTATTATACTTTTAAAGTAAATTTCATACAAACTTTAGTATAGTTATTTTAGAAATAAGAACTCTATTGGGCCAATGCAATAAATAGTCATTATGAAAGAAGAAATACATGTATCAGGTGAACAAGATATTGTGCATTACATAATGTACATGTTTGATAATGAAAATCATACAGTCCTACATGTACTACTAAAAGAGAATACAGAATATCCCTTCAGTTACTTGTCCACATTGCAGGAGTACCTTTGATACATATCAATGTTAAGAATTATTGGTTCATGTGAATAATAAGATAGATTGTAGCAGACTAAATGAATGAAGAAACTTACCCTTCTCTGCTATACTGTCAACTGTAACTGTAACAAAAAACAAAACACATTTCTCTATCATAAATAATAAGAGAGTTGCATGGCAGTTCTATATGTTAAACACAGTAAACATACTTTAAATATATCTGATTTATACACTTTGTTTTATATTAGCCATTTATTGTACTTAGGCATTCTACCACCCAAAAAATCTGATATGCAATTAAGAATCTTTAGTGGCTAAAAGGTCAAACGTATGAACAAAGGTAAATATAGAAAAATCAAATGATATACAACATGTAGCATAAGTAAAACTAAATTATTTAGGCAATTTCAACAAGGTTATTATTTTATGTACAAGTACTTAATAAACATTCAATTTCTGAAAACTTTTGAAGTATTGAAATTAATACATATGAAAAATACTTAATAAAAGTGACAAAAAATACCATAACAGGTGCTGGTTACAGCTATTAGTACCAGCATAACTTTCAATTAATTTAAGTGGCAGATTACTAGTGTATACTCACACATCAGAAAAGTGTGAAGTCCTAGAGAAAATATTCTGCTTTCCTACTATGAATTGCAAATATGTGAAAAACACCCCTACTCTATTTACATTACTTAGTAAGTTATATTCTAGTACTTAGACCAATGATACGTCATAGGCAAACTTTCCTGTAATTCTTATCGAAATTGAAATTAAGTAAATAACTGATGTTTTACTCTATACATACATGAGCTACACGTACACACACATTATTTTGTATCTTCCAAGGACATTTAGTCAAATATAGTACTGTACATTATATATTGAAAACAAACTTTTCTTAACCATTTTGTTTCATACCTATCATTATATGTTGGTAATAATTACTCTATATACATGCATTATAGGTGTGCCTGACATTATGATTCTGTACATTTTTGTCACTTTGGATTTTAGGATACTCTTTAGTACTGGATATTAAATTCATTTTTAGGCCTTTTTGTGAGCAAAAACCACATGTGTGTTGATTCACACATACAAGAGAATTTGCACGTGCAAGTTGCACAGGTGTTTAAAATGAAACATTGTGACAGGAAACTAGAAAAAAAATTTACTCTTTAATGTTACAAATATTTGCATTATATCAGCAGAGTTATCAATTTTAACAAAACTATAAAAGAGAAGAAACTACACAACACTAGTATTCAGAAGGTTTGTTTTATTTATGATTTTCTTCTTTACTTTCTACAAGATTCTCCAGAATTGTCATGATCATCACATTTGATCTTCCTCCTCCTTCTGTAGTTTTGTATCCAATAATCTCCTATTTCCTAGAATCTAGAAACATTTTGTCTTCATAAATGATCACAATGAATTAAAGATCTATTACTATACATCTCAAACCATTTTTGTAAATAACAGGTTTCTGCTTTTCTCAGGAGTATTTAAAATTGTACTGTGACATGGCAGAATATGGTCTTTTGGAATTTGAAGTTGTTTTATAGTTATTCTTGTAATAATTGTTTGCTATTTCGTAGGTAGGTTGATTCCACTAAATATTGACTACTTTTGGAAAGAGTATGCAACAGCCCTTTCTAATGCAAAATATCCATACATTCAGAGAATAACAATGTTTTCAGATTGGGGATCTAGAACTTAAGACAGAGAAATACCTTGTACTTAATGACAATGGAATATGGAGCACCAGGTACTTTCAAAAAGAGATGTGCAACAAGTAATACCCCAGCTGCAGTAAGCAAAGTGTTGTGTCTTGCAACAGGTGAGAATTCATAAATATAAAAGTCAGTTGTAAAAGCTGTCCATGTGCCCCAGACAACAGTGTACAACATTCAATGTAAACAAAAAGTATTTCTGTCTAGAAAAGCAATACAAGTTGCTCCCATGACATATCCAGGAAATGAAGACCAACTGTAGAAAATTGGATGGACTTTAGAGCTGGGCAATTTACTAACCGATTACGATGGTCCCATTAACTGATTACCTGAAAATGTATTTTCAATAAACATTCACCTCTTTACATAATTAAGCTATCATTCCCATGCATTTGCCTTAGAGATTTGCATGCTACTAATCTTTGGGCAACTCACACCTAATCTCATGAGGTTTCTTATGAATTGCACTACTGCATAATGACATTATTATGCAGCAAAAGCCCTCCATCAATAGGAGGATAATTCACCTCCTTGCATACTAACTCCTTCTATGCTTTTGTACTCACAAATTTTTATTCTTTGATAAGGCATGGAATACTACGGTGGACCAAAAATGAGGAGAAAGGGTGGGAAGGAGTGTGAAGAGGTATATATCAGAAATACATTTTCAGGTAAGGAAAACATTAACTTCTCAGATGATACACACCTGTGCAAACAATTAAGTTAGAATCCCATGTTAAAGTGGTGGAGGGACTGGTGCAGAAATTTACCTAAATGAGTTCCCTTCAAAAAGCATCCAAAGGAAACCCATTGAGTGAGACATCCAATGGCAGGGGGTCCATAGGAGCACATCCGTGGGATAACATATCTCATCTCTTCCAGTTGCCCAGGAAAAATGGAGGAAGAGGCAAATGAGCCTCATGTTTTGCATGAATGGGCAGAATAAAAACATGACTGTCTGAGTACTTTTACAAGAGGTCGGAGAACCAAAATGTGTACCACGGTTGAAGCATGTTCAAACTGTACCTTGCACTCACCACAACTCTACCATCAGACAATTAGACCAACAACTGCTATGGGACCAAGGCACAGATTCATGCCATAAAGTGTGTAATGGTGTGTGTGTGTGCATACCTCAACTTGAATGAACAGTCATCAGCTGCTGGAAGAGGGCACAAGTGTATAGTGTGCTCACCTGGACTCCAGTTAAATAGTTTTTGAAGGTTTATTTTGCAATAAAGGACTTAAAACTTGGATAAAATAAAACTTCAAATCATAATGCACATTATAATATTAAATTCATTCACATACATTGATATTAAAGGTTTTTAATTAAATTTTGAATGTAACAGTGACTTGCACAGAAAAGTATTTAAAGGGGCTCTCATTACAAAAGGGTCAAAACAATCTATCTTTTCAGCCTTCATAAAGCACCTGCATTTTGTCTTGAGCCTGTTTTCTACAGGAAAAGCTCCTTCACAAGACTTGTTACAGAAAAGCAAAAAGCTATTTGACACAATTTTGACAAGTTAGGAAATTGATCACTATACAGTTTATAGACCCTTCTACATAAATGTTCAGTTTTGAGTTTTTATACATGCCTTTTAATACGTCATTGAATGTAGGCCATTCATTTTTTGTTACACACAGGCATCACTTCAATTTCAGTGTTTTTCTAACATCATTTGAAATTTTGGTGGGTTTATTGAATACATAAAAATCTGCAGGAGCAGCAATAGCCCCGTCTGCTAAATCTTCATTAAAAATAGAAAACTCTGGATCCCAGATTATGGATGATGTTTCCATCTTGTTGTGTAAGCCTATCAGTTATGTTTCAATATAAAGTCTGTCTATGTATTTACTCATCAGCTGTTTTACTTCTGACGGAGTCTGTTCTGAAACACCTTTCATATATCCATAATTTTGTTCCAAAGTGCTCACCATCTTGTAATTTTCACTACCTTTCTTTAGATTATCCAATCCAGCTAAAGTAGACTCAACTAGTAATCTCACTTGACTGAATACTATATTTTCATGTTGAAATACACAACACCTACATTTCATTATGGACATCTAACATGATATTTATACTTAAAGATATTTTAGTGCTGTTAAAGATGTATGTAGTGATTTAGCTATTGCATCTGTTGTACCTATTTCACAAAAGTGTTGCTACAACAGAAGGATAACTACAATACAAAGCATCAACTGCATTTCTACTGCTCAACCATCTCACATCGTGTGGTTCTTTGATTTGCTATTTTTTGTTACTGAAAATGCTCTAAATGTTATGCAATTTTGCAGTTCATACTGCAGAGCTGCTGAAGAAATGATACAAACTGTTGAATCTTGATTTGAAGGTTTCAAGTCGTTTAATGTTTTTGATTACATCAACACACTCCAGTGTATGTCTGTGGGCCAATCAATGTGTCTGTGGACAAATGGGGAGAATGTTAACTTTATTTGCACACCTACACCAGCTCTGTAACCTACCACAGTAGTAGCTCCATCTGTACATAAGCATACTCTTTTTTTTTCGTGTCCACTCCTAATTTGTAAAAGGTATTCTTCAAACACTGGGTAATTGTATGGATTTGCCATCATCAAGCTTTACACTCCCTAGGTAGAATGTTTCAACATTGTTTTCATGCACATATTTTACACAAATGACTATCTTTTTTTTTCAAGTCCTATATCACACAACTCATCTATCATAACACCATAAAAGTCACATATTCAAAGACATTTCACAATGTCATTATATAAAGTTGGATATGATCTTCTACAGTTCATTAATTGAGGTCCAACTTACATTTTTCCTTTTAGTTTTCAAACCATTCAGGGAGTGAAAATCTAACAGTTTATTTATGGTTTCACTTGGAAGCTCTGACTTTGCACAAAAAAAAAAAAAATGTTCAAAATACTAATTTATTAGACTCACTTTATACTCAGATGTACAACCCTCATTATCACTATAATGTACTCCACACTTTCGGTTTTACTTTTTACACTCATTCTTACTGCATTTAATTAGAAATCTGAGTATAAAGAGACCCAGTAGTACCCATCACATTCTTCTTTCCAACAAATTTACACTGGTGACACAAATGGATTTGAATCCATCTACTTTTGTAACACTCTCTAGCCATGGTTATTGTTTTATTAAACTTTTAATGGTACTTTAAAGGGCTATACCGCCACCTGAAAAAACGTTATCACACTGCATAAGTGTGTTGTAACAATTAGCTTAGTTCTTGACATTTCAAAATTGAATTTGTAATGATAGGTTGTTTTTTTATAATGCTGGCAAGTTGATACTTCTCTAAATTTTCATGGGTTAGACCACTTGTTACAACTTACACTATTATATACTTAATATTACAATT